TCAAGGAAGTCATCAGGGACGCCATGGTCAACATTGGCAGGGATACCATCTCCAAAATCTGTTCCAACTTCTGGGCCTGCCTGGAAAGTGGTGGCTGCCGACTAAGGCCACATCAAGTGATTTTTGTACCTAATATATATGTCGAACTGTGTATAAAGTTTCATTGAAATATATTATGTTGTTATATATATATATATATATATATATATATATATATATAAACAAAAAACACTGTTTTTACTGTCCATTAATTTTTTTCTGGATTTATCTGTGCTACACTATATATTATGTTTGCAGTAAAATACCAATGAGGAAACTACATGGAAATTTTATGGCGGCTTTAAGAAACAATCGTTAAATGACTATAGCTTGGAGAAGTATGAATTTCAGTAGATATTTATATACTTACTGTTTTAATCAGAAATATTGAAGAAATGTTATATTTATTATATGTAAACAGATTAGTAAGGTTACTAAAGTGCCTTTTGCTAGAGCATAAAGTCTGGGTATTTTAGGATGGTATATGATCAATTTTGACTGTTTTGTGTCATCATTAACTAAGTTTATAATTGTTTTTTTGGATTTTGTGTCTCATAAATTTCTTTGTGTTCATTGATTTCTTTTTTCTAGAAATGGTTGTAATTAATCTTAATTTTTTTATGTAGGAATCCTTATTCATGATAGAAAAAAACAAACTTTTACACAATGATAAAAACATTTACATTAGTTGTTTGGAATCTTTGTCATAATCACATTTCGGCTGTTGTATGCTTTGGCCTTCTTCATAGATATATGAGGGTAGATTGTCCTAGTTCCACATGCCATGCCTTTTTCTGGGTGTCTCAGGTTCAGTTATTTCCCTTTAGTAACTCTCCAAGTTTTTGTTCACCTCTGCTGTGGCCAGGTATTGAACTCACAGTGGATAAAAGCATTGGTTGGAGTAATCAAATGACTTGACCCAAAGAGTTGTGAGTTCAATACTTGGCCATAGCAGAGTTGAATAAAGTTACTAAAAGGAAATAACTGAAACTGAGATATCCAGAAAAGGCATGGCATGTGGAACTAGAGCAATCTACCCTGGTGGATGAAATAAAAGGTTTGGTTTAAACTTCCAATGTAAATTACCTGAAGAAGGCTGGAGCATAGAATGGACAAAATATGTATATGACAATAAAGATGGGGGTCAACAGTTCAAACAATGTAAATAGTGTAAATAGTTACAATACCGCATCTCAAAAATATAGACAGATAGGATAGAAACATTTATGAAAAAATTTGATGAGCCTAAAATAATTTCCAAGACATGAAAATTCAACAACTCAGAGTTAGTTAATAATGAGGACAAGACCTACTCAAAATTGAATATCACCCTAAAATACCCAGATTTTATGGTCCACCAAAAATACACAAAGCAGGCATTCCTGTATGACACATCAATTGATTTATATAAAACACAAAGAAAAATAATACTACTTTTGTATTTTATCTTTTTGGTTTAGCATGTCACAGTGACAAACCTGTTTTTATTACACAGTAATATTTGATGTATGTTATTGATAACACTTAGTCTACTTTTGCAATGACTTACCTTTGATAATCAGTTTTTAAAAAAAAACATTCTCTCTATTATCTGTGACCATATTTTACTTTCCCCTGTGGTCATTATTGTGTTTTCATGTTCTAATAATGCCTGCCATATTTTAAAGACTTTGCTGGTTTCTCAAGCCCCCTCCTTCTCCACATGTTTTTTTTTTTCTATCTGCATTTTCCTGCGGCTATCTGCATGGGTTGAGGCGTGGTGTTGCTTTTAGCGCATGACAACCCCTTCCCAAGCACAACCGTAGTACACTAGTATCCTTCGCCATTTGTAACCAAGTCTTAGACTTTGGTGTTTGCATAAAGCTGTCCTTATTTATTTTTTTTTTTGTTACTTTTTCTATCTTTTTATAAACCTGAAATGTTATTTTTATTTTCAAGGTTCTATTTGTTGATATTTACCATTTTTCACTATCAATAACATTGCATAGTAATTTTTCATATTGTGTAATATTGCCTCCATCAGTAACATTACATATAAATTTGTATTGGCCAATATCACTATATGATCTTGTATAAAGACTACTACACATGTTATTTTATTGTTGAGTATCTTAAAGACTACTTTCCTGTTATTGCAGCTTGTATCATGATATTATGTATTAAATGAAATATTTTGTGATAAGTTGTAACATATTAATGAATATTTTTTTCCTTTGTACTGTATAATTCAAAACAAATTGTTATGCTTCTGTTATCAGATTTTATGTACGCAAAAATTGGTCCAGTCACATGAATTTGAACTCTCAATGCTTTATTTTACACTTTTTGTTTCACTCTGAAGGAAAGATGAACACTTTGTTCTGTCTCTCATAATTAACGGGCAAAAAACAAAAAAACAAAAAAAAAATGGTATATCAAAAGGATGGGTTTTTCCATTGACACTATTATTATTTTAACTAGCTTCACTCCTCGGCAATGTTTATTGTTTTAAAAAAGCAATGATTAGATTATAATGACACCTAAACATATGATAAAAGTGAATTTATACATTTTTTTTTTTGTTCTTGAGAATTTACAACAAAAATATTAAGCATTATTTATTACTGTTTCCAAGAATAATTTTATATTTACAACATTCTAAAAACTATTACAATTGTATTAGAACTAATGCAGTGAAATAGTTTTCATTTACAAATTTATAAAGAAATATGAAAACCATTTTTTTTATTCATAAATTTATAAACATTTACTAAATTATTAAAATATGTGAACCAACTGTAAAGAAATCCTTGTTATTTACCATTTTATAAAAATCAATCAATTAGTTATTAGTCCATGTTTTGCCAACCATCCCAATAAATGATCTAATAAATAATTTGTCTTTATTATTTTTATTGTCAAGAACAATAGAAATGTATAAATTAATTTTTATATGTTTAGGTTTTATTACAATTCTATTCATTACTTTTGAAAACCATAAACATTTTCCAAGGATGGAAGGTAGTTAAAATAATAGTGGTGTCAAGGAAAAAACAGTCCTTTTGACATTCATTCATTTCTTTTTTGTGTGTGTTTGTGTGTTTGAAATTCCATGTTTGTCAATTAGTACTTGCCTGTAAATCAAAAGGACTTGAGCCAGTTAAATATTCAGCGGTAAATTTTATCAATTATTTTTTATCAGCGCATTTTTAAAAACTTGGCTGGAGATTAATTTTCAAGTTCTCTTGAGTTTTCTGAATGCTTCACTATATAGACCTTGTTCATCAATGTGTGAAACTTTTTATTTTATTATGTACATTAGCAATGTCTCATCTTTGTTATTACCAGTGTTTCGGCCATTCCACACACCAGCCTTCTTCAGGTGTCTATCAATCCAGTTAATCTTCAGGGAATTTTAAACTGAATCCTTTACTTAATTTATAAGTGTAGATTATTCTCATTTTGCTGTTTATTTCTTGGGGTATCATGTCTTTATTTTATTTTATTTTTTTTTTAATTATTTTTTTACTCATGTGTTATGCATGATATACGTGTAGGTGATCATGTATCTTTTGATACATGACAGATGAGGCAAATTTTTTCCCATGGTAGGTTGCTATTTCTTTCTGCAGTAGGCCAGTTGCCATAGAACCCAGTCTGTCCTGCTATTTACCCATAGCTGAGGGCATAAGGGGATTCATACCTTTCCCAAGGGTATTAGTACATAAGTGAATATTTTGGACTGGAATTTGAATTTGGTTCTCAGATTCTGTTTTACTACTGCTCATTTATTGATAGTTCTTTTTCCAGGGATTTAACTAATAAGTACTATGCCACTAAATTTATGAACCAATATTTTAATCCTGGATCAACAGAATATGAAAAAAGTTAGTCCAATGACCAAGAGATGTTGTAATCACAACAAAGAGGAATACATTAGCCCATATGTAAATAATGATGACTCCTTATTACAGAGATTCAGATATAGATCGTTGCTTTAATAAGTTTACAGGGCGATTTTTATCATTAAGCATCTCTAATCAGCTTTGTCTTGAAAATTACTTGAAATCCTGACTGTCACTTTGGGCTTGGACATTGACTTTTGGCACCACTGCAGAAATATGCAACTATCTTGGCCATCAAACATATGTGTATATGTTTGTGCAGATATGAATTTCATTAAACAACAATTTGATATTTTCGGAGACTTAAGAGCATTATCTATGTGCCATTTTTACATTTTACTCATTTCTGTGGAGAGGGACATAAAATTGAAGGTATTTAATGGATGTGCTGCAAAAATTAATAAATAAATAATAATTTAAGTTGCTTATTCAATATGGTGGTAAATGTCAAATGACTTTATGGATTTCAAGTTCATAGAAGATAAAGTTGGTAAGTTTATTTATTAGTGTGTCTGTTTGTCTTCAAAATTGCAGGGTTGCTATACTGAGCCATTTATGGTATCTCTAAAGCTTCAAGAAAGATTTAGCATTTTTAAAAATATATTTTAAACCTTATGTATCATGATTCTGTGGCGGTATCTATTTTATAGTAATTTGGTACAAGGTCATTGTGGAGGTGAAGAAATAGATGATCATTGACTCCCCAAATCTTATGACCTAAATACTGAGATTTGTCTATTCTCTGTGGGATTTTAAATGCTTTCAAGTTCTGTTTTACTTTTTGTCTTAATTTCTCTCTGAGGACCTATGTGTCTCCTAAATGATTCACAAGTCATCTGACTAATTTGATTGGTTGGTTGTTTTTGCTAAGTGACATATCAACCTCTGTGGGTTACTTAATGCTGAAATCTAAATATTTTGTACACAATTTTTTATTTTATTTATTTATTTTTTTGAGATAATAATGCTTTAGCCATATATTTGTAAGTGAATATAATGAACCCAACTGGAATTGGAACTCTGCTCTCTGGTTAACAATATTGAGACATTATCCATTACACCACCTGCACATCCAAGCCTACAGTACCTGGTATTCCCATGCAGTCATCCATCTAGGTACTGACCAGGCTTGATGTTGCTTAACTTTGCTGATTGTATGGGAACTGGTGTTTCAATGTGATGTGGCCATAAGCCAATTGACTAATTTAGAGCTGATATATACAATGCATGCTTATATTTAGTAAGCATAATTTAGTATAGTCCAAGGCCAAGTGTTGGCGATGATGTGAATATAAAACACAGTGGTAATAGTCTGTGAAATGAGATTGTTTGCATTTACTCTAACTAGTAGAGCAGAATTTACTATTTTTCTTGCAGTTGATAATGAAGTTAATTAAAAGAATACAAAACATGGTAAAGGAATGTGTATATCTAATGATGTCCTTTTTCATGTGTATGTGCGTATAAAATTCATATGAAAGCTTCTAAGCGACTTACATTTTGAGAAGAGTTCTTTGTTGGTTTGGTAGAATTATTAGATAGGCCTGTTCATAATCAAGTATGTTTAAGGTATTTGTATACTGTATGCCAAAATTCTCTCTAGTAGCTTAAAAATAAAAAAAATAAATTTTTTTTTTTTTTTTTTTTATATATAATACTTCTGCCAACACCATTTAGGTATTGTTAGCAGAAGTTCATTGACAGACAAGTGGGGTAATCCCACATTAGCATACACAAGTATTGATCCTCCCCCTGTTGTTGGCACCTGCTCACTTCACATTGTCATCCTTTCTCCCTGTTCCCTTTCTCTCCTCTGGTGGTGGAGATGTCTGGGAATCAAAGAAAATTTGACGATTCCATTCGTGTGAATTTGGTTTTGTTGGATAACTTTACACAATGGAGAATCCCATGCAATTGTTCAGATGTAGCTTCCTCATGGCTCAAAGGGGATTGAGACATTTGAGACCTGGCAAACCTGGTTGCATCAGGCTGTCAGGTGCTTGATCTGCTATGGTTAGGCCAGCCTAACTGTCGCTGTCCTCTTCTGCTGGTTTGGCAGTTGAGATCATGTAGATTTTTGCTTATTCTGGGATCACTGCCAGTGTCTAAGTAATTTGACTTACAATACGTTAAATGTTCATAATATAACAATTCATAGTGATGATAAACTTTCCTAATAAAGTAAGTAAACTTGCTAAAATGCTTATTTTAAAAATAAAAAATAAAATCTGTGTATTTAAAAATAAAAAAGATTAAACATTTATTTTAATAATTAAATATTGTAAATGTATAATATATATATATATATATATATATATATATATATATATATATAATATAACAAAATTATAATAAAGAAAAACATAAGATTAAAAAAAAATGACTTCCCTTTTTTAAACTACAACATTGCTTTCTTTGAGCAATGAAAAGAACATGTCCATTCACTCCAACATCAGTGTCAATAATTATTTATATACAGATGTAAGTTATATAAATGTGTACACAAAAGCCATATATGTCAGAAGATAGACAGACTGGCAGTCTGTTGTGAGAGGCAGGGATGATAACCAGCTAATGTAACCCTCAACCTGAATGAACACTTGAGTTTTGGGTGTCAACTTTTATGCCTGCTTGTTTTTAGTTTTGTGTTTTTTTTGTTTTTTTTTTTATACTGAAAATGTGTGTGTGTGTATATATATATATATATATATATATATATATATATATATATATATATATATAAATAAAGTTGTGTGCTTGGAAAAAGAATTAACTACTACTTACAATTTAATGCTTTTGGTGAGTGGCAATAGCCTCTGAGAAAAAATAGTTTTGATTTTGTTTTAGATGTAATAAACTGAGTGGATAGAAAGAGTTATTGATTATTTTCTGAAGACATTTTTTATGATACAAACACTTCTTTTTATTGGTTTTCTGTGCAATGTTGTTTGTTATGGAGTCCTATCATTGGAGGGAAAAAAAAGCTGGTCTGTTATAGATTCAGTCATCGTTAAATCCAGTCTGGCAACAGATGTGATTCTATTTGGCTGACAAATATTTACCACGAGGTTCATTTCAACCAGTCATTGATATTTCTGCTGAAAGATTCATTTTGCTTTGGCCAAATTTGCTCTCAACAGTACAGAGAAACCTATTAATTACAAAATCCTATAGATCACTCTATTGGACTGCTAAACAAGAGTAGTATCAATAATTATCAGCAGTTGTAAAAGATATTTGAAACTCCTTGGGAAATATACTATGATGAAATGAAGATTTTATACTTAAATTAAATTTTAATTTATTGAAAATTCAAAAGGCATTTTTGACAAGATAAATACAATGAACAGAATAATATTTTTTTTCTTTTAGATGTCTAGACTAATCTGAAAACAGTATTAAAGCTAAACATTTCCAGATTGATACAGCAAAAGTTTTTAAAAAATAACTTGTATATAGAATTAATATAAGTAAAAGGTTTGTCACTTGATTGATTGATGTTACCTTCAGCATCTCAACTCCAAAGTTTTGTAAATGGACCTGTCGTCCACTCATCAAGGGTATCGGCAATTGACTGCTTATACTTCTTGATATTTTATATGCACTTATCATTGGTGCAAGTTTTTTCTTCATATTGTATGTATGCGTATATGTAAAATGTCATCCTTTTTGTTGCTTTCATTTTACTTTTTTGTTTTTTTTTCCCTCCCACTTTGATTTTGACATAAGCTGACATATTTTATTACTTAAATGTTATTTTTAGCAGATACCCATATTTGAGTAGATACTCCATTTATTTATTTAGCAGTAAATATATATATCAACCTGAATATTTGAGAAATCAAGGGGAATGCAAGTTTGAATACTACTGGTGAGCACATATTTATCTTTCATAAGATTTCTCTAATATTCAGGTTGGTGGACGTAAATAAACTGTTTAATAAAGTCTATTTAATATTAGTGTCTATTCAAATATGGGTATCTACTAAAAATAACATTTCAGTAATAAAATATATATATGATGGACTCCCTTGTCAATTTTGATATATAAGAATCTGACAACCTCATTTAGTTTTATGTTGGTGTCATATGTGACGCTTCAGTCTCACTAGTGACCTGCATACATGTCCACATATTGTGCAACAGCGAGAATCTCCGGACATAGCTGCAGGAATATTTGCTGATGCTTTTTGCCATTGTCTTTCATCTCTTATCTGGTCAATATGACTGGTTTAAAAATTTCTGATACCACTCTGGCACAAATGTCTTCAGTTATTTCTATCTTTATACCTGAGCCACATCTGTCCTTTGTCCTTTATCAAGCTGGTTATACATGAGGACCTTAGGTATTCTGTCATCACTTATTCTTACAACATGACCAGCACAGTAAAGGTATGACAACTTCAGGAAAGTCTCAATTCTATCAATGTTGCATTTTGCAAGAAGATCAGCATTGTACACGCTATTATCATATAGCCACTGATCACACGGGACAACATTTGTGGAAGACATCCAAGTGATTGATATAGAACCTATATAGAGTTCATGATTCTGAACCATATAGCAGGGAGGTTAAAACTTTACTTTCTTTTTTTAAACTGCATTCTTTAACCGTTACCATACTAATCACTTCCTAGAATTGTTCTCCCTGCCACTGCATTTTTTAAAAAACAAACACTTATGGTTTTAAAATTGTTATAACTTGTTTTTGTATTGTGTGTATAGATTTTACTTTTTGTATACTAATAAAAGAAGGGATGAGTAAAATTTTGATGTAATGCATTACATTTTGTATGCATGTTATGACGTTGGAAAAAAAATAAATTGAAACACAAAATAAAAGACAAATACATTAACAATTTAACATACTTTAACTTTTATTACATTTTGTGGAGGTCTAGGGTGCAATAAAAAGCAAAATGGCTAAGAAGGCTTTCATTTCCTTAAAAAAGTGACATGCTTCCTTGTGTTTACATATGAGAAGACTCCAGCATTTGTTTGGTCTTTCTTTCACCTGACTAGCATATTTATGTCTCGTCAAAGTTATTATTTTGTTTCTGAATAGACGAAATAATTCACCTTCAAAAAGGCTATCAGGCTTATCAATGGGTCACCAGTAGCTTCCATAAAATTAGCCAGCCATGGATAATAGTCGCCACTAGTGGTCATCAACAAAGTGACACATAGTTATCACTCTCAACCACTTCACCGTCAATATCCACTTGAGCAAAGCCTTCAAAATCATTATCAGAGTCCTAATCAAAGAAAAACTCTTCAATAAAGGTTTCATTAGATGTTGATGTAGCCATTTTTTTTTTTTTTTTTTTTTTAAATTGCGAAAAAATTAATGTGGGTTTGATCGGTGTAGAATTTAGAAGAATTCAAAATAGCGTCAGAAAACAAAGTTTAGCCTCGTTCCAAAGCAGTAGTAGGTGATTTCCAGCTTAAAATACCGGAAATAACAGTTGACAAGTGTTTATTTATAATGATCTCAATGCTACATAATGTACCTAGAGCAACAAAGAGAATTCTATGTTGATAATTTTTGCCTCTAGCATGGTCATTGTTAAGTTGAAAATATGGCCAAACTTATAGAGAACAACCAATGCTTTGAATATAATGTTATGTAATTTCTTTTGTATTTATTTATTGTTTTATTTAAATTTTTAGATGTTTTAATTATGTATTTCTTTTTTTCTTTTATAGTCTATTTTGTAAATTACTGCTTTAGGTTTTATTATTCATTCAGTTATATAATATATATGCAAGAAAGAGCATTATAAGATAGGGTTAGATTGTATTATTTATTTTATAATTTTTTTTATTGGTGTGTATGTCGAGGGATGAAACAGATGTTATAAAAAAAAAAAAAATATATCTTAACCAGTTCTTCAGTATTTGAAAAGAATTTTCCATTTTTTGGAGTTCCATATTCATCTGAGGAAAGCTGGAGAATGGACCAGCTCAAGAACTCTCTCTCTCTCTTTCAGTGAAAGAGAAAATATCAGAAAACAGTGATTCTAAAATCCACAAATAATATTAATCTTAGATTTAAAAAAAAAAAAAATCATATTTATTTTTAATTTATGATATTTAAAAATTGACTCAGCAAGTTGATTAGTCAAATTGTCTTAACTAGCCATATTCAACTGAATTTTTACATTCTTGTAAAATAAAAGATTTTACGGAGA